CATATATATATATGTGTGTGTGTGTATTTGTTTGCTATTTGTTTTAGCACACTGTCCCATTCTCAGGTCTAGATTTGGGGTAGTTGGTCCTGGGGACAGGTTGGACAGAAGGGGCCAGAGTGCAGAAGAAGCCAGAGATAAGAGTGAGGCCCAGGCCCCCCCACGCACAGAACATGGACCAGCCATAGCCATGGCTGATGTCGTCGGGAAGTCCATACAGGTAGCGGGGGTAGCGGGAGAGCTCAAAGTTGATTCCAGCCACGCAAGTGCACAGTGAAATGATGCAGAAGGTTCCTGGAGGAGAGCGGGAAGGGAAGAAGGAGGGAGGAAAAAAACAAAGAGAAGTTAGAAGAGTGATAGACATACCACTTTCCGAGACGCCTGAAAAGAGCTGGTGCAAGCAGTAAGGAAATACCTAAGGGAAGATGTTCATATAGAATGTGGCTTAGTCTAGCAGCTCCACGGGGAAGGAACTGAGTGCCAGCAGAGCCTCGGATATTGATCTGATGCTGAACAGAGCTGTATGGAGAAACTTCAACAGGAACAGTTTTTTCACTACGAGCACTCACTTGGGAGCCAGAATCCCTCATGAAACCATTGATTTTTCTGGAATTTTTCTTTAGACAAATACAGAGTGAATCATTATGTTTCAATATTTTAGGGGGAAAAAACCTTGATGTTTTTGTTTAATTTTGATTTTTTTCAGTGATTACAAAATATTTGACATATTCTGGCTCTGTCAAAATGTAAATTTGAAATTACTTAGATTTTTTCAGACTTTTCTTATATTGAAACCTAAAATCTTTCATTATACACCCCCCTTTTGAATATCACTATCAAATCATAAAATCGTTCACAAAATGTGGATTCTACCCTCTGTATGACTCCAGTCCCAATCTAGATGCCCTCTGTGGTGTTGGGGAAATCTTCAAAATATCCTGTTCTTGTTTTCCATCTCTGCAGCAATATTTCGTTTCTTCCCGAGAACACTGTGAGGACAGGCTTCATAACTCTGTCAGGTGGTAAGTGTTGTGGAAAGTCAAACGTTTCGGATGAGGCTGAACCTTAGCCCACCCAGATGAGTCAAATTTTGATCTTTGTCCTCCAGCTTCATCAAAGCTAAACTCCGAGCTACTGAAATGTCACAGTTGCCACCCACACGACAAATAACAGATAGCTATAGACGCTGTGCCTGTCTCAAGAGATAACAACTGAAGTCAACATAAAGTTGGTAATTTATTTTTCTCTCTAATTCTTCCCTATGTGGGTCTCTCTGAATTGCTTGGAGAGCCCTGGGCACGGAAGGCATACTGCGGGATGCATGTGGTCAGTCCTGCTGTTCACGCATAGATCAGTAGCATGCTACATGTGCTACCTGTGCAGCCTGTCCTGCATCTGTTCACTAGCAGTTGCTGGCGAGGAATCACATCCTCTTCCTGGTCCCATCCCTAAGATAGCACAATCTTTCAAAGCAGTCACAGACAGCCTGGTTTTAGTGTAAAGCTCCTTTCCTCTGTTGCCCTTGTCTCCTTCTACTTCCTGCCCCTCTACAACACTTTTCCTGTTGTTTCTCTGCTGCTTTGCTTTTTTTTTAGTTGCAGTCGCACTGAAGAGGAGGATTTTACACTCCCTGCTCTGAAGATACAGGTAAGATTATGTGGTGAATTTGCCTGGAATTAGGCTCAGAAACTGGGGACATTTGTAGAAACACAAAACTGTGTGGACTTTCTGCCATACCCACCTCCTTTACTTAGTAGGAATATCACACAGGTGATCTGCAGACAAATCTCTATCATGGACCTGCTGTGAGACCACCATCATGGCCCTCTCTCTCTTCCCTCTTCTGATCACTGCTTTGTCTATTTGGACTGTCTTTGCTCCAATGTGTTTTAGAGTGCCACTTGTAGATACTCCCTCTTGTAAAGGCTGGGAAATATGGGAACTCTGGGTGCCTCTCCTAATGTTATATATAGCTGCCAGATGGCCCAGGTTATTCATAAATAGTCATATTATGACAGTGCTATCATAGGGTACCAGTCAGGACCAGCAAGGTGCTGCAGTAGGTACTATGGCTATTTAAGTAAAGACTGCCTGCCTGCCTCACAGCAGCACCTCATTAGTCTACAGTTAGTGCTCTGGACTTTTGCAAAAACCTTGTGAAACCCCAGGCTCTGGAGCTGTCTTCAGAGATGTCCTACTCTACTTTCAAAGCACAGAGCAGGATAAATGGGGAGGTGCCTCTCCCAGAATTCCTTACTCAAACATCGGATTGTTTGATTAGAAACCACACCCCACTCCCATGTTTTACTGTGCCACTTAGGTTATCCAGTAACATGAAGGTGTCTGTGAAGAACACACTTGTTTCCTGTGTGGCATGTCAACATGACTAGTACATCGTGGGATCAGAAAAATAGGGATCCATCACACTTTGCTCTGAACCAAGCTCCATGGCTCATTTCAAATGTCTGTGGTTGGAAAAATGACATGAAAGGCCATTCTTTCCGAGCAAGAACATGATCATTTCAGCTCTCTTGAAATATAAGATTGTTAAGAGAAGTGGGTGGGTAAATCTGTGTGGCCAGACTGAAGCTGCATTTGCTAAGTACAAAAGGGAAGGAAATAGTTTGGATTTCAAATACTCCCCGTGCTTTCACACTTTATATGGGCTATTTTGATTACAAGCTCTTCAATGCAACAAGCGTTGCTTACTCTTTGTATTTGAACAGTGCCCAATATATTGGCACTCCACCTTACTGGGGGTATTCTGCCCCAAAACAAACAAACAATAAAGAAGAACGAGTGAAACAATAGAGAATAAAGCAAATGATGAGCATTAGACTTCTTTAAAAAAAGGCTGCCTCCATCCTGCCCCTTTGCTGGAGAATGTGCTGATCCCATGACAATAAATAATGACTGCCATGCACAATATTAGAGGATGCATATCACGGTCCTCAGCCAGTCACTCCCCAGTGCTTCTGCAGGATGTCTTGTACAGCACAGGTTTGTCAGCCCCCTAGTGCTACTCATTACAGACACAAAAAATGCCATTTCATACCACCTAGAGGAATCTTTGTGACCATTATATGAGTTCTATGTGGTGTTTGTATTCATCCAAGGAAGGAAATTCCCACTTGTAGTTAATCTGGCCTCTCACCAGGAGGGTCACTGATGAAAACTGAGTGTGGTTGCTACCTTAGGACTGTTTGGGGGCTTTTCTTCATGAATTGGCAGTCATAACACAAAGGATCATCCTTGCAAATTGCACAGTTTTTGGCCATCATAGTCAAAGGGTCATGGATGGAAGGGACGCAGAGACGGAGCTTACCCTTGGAAATGCAGCCTCTGCTAGTTGGGGTAAGACTGGCTGGGATGGCAGGAGGAGGAGGGCTGCTGCTCCTGCCCATGACACTGCCTGCACTATGGACACAACGCTTCAGAGGCACCAGGATTGCAGCAAGTCCTCAGCATCCCCAACCTTGAGATTCTTTCTCTCCCCAGAAAATGACCTGAAACCTTATTCACTTTCCTGGCAGGTTGTTGCCATCAGTGAGGTGCCCCCCTACGTATGCACTAATGCCCCAGATCCTCAGGCAGCTGCAGCAATGGAAACTGTTCTTTCTTTGTGGAAAGTACTCCCCATAATTCTGGCCTAAGCAGACAACCAGATGTCCAAGGCTCGGCACTTCTGCCGTGGCACTTGCAGGCAAATGTGAATGACAGGCGGTAATAAGAGCTCACTGGGGATGTGCTGGCATGTGAGCTGGACAGGGGAGATAAAGACCATCTCCTTCAGCAGCTGGGGAGAGCAGAACATGCTAAGTTCTTTGTGCTGGGATTTACACGTTATCATCCTAGGTGAAATACTAAGGAACGAGACAAGGCAACAGCAGTGTTTTTGACAAAGGAAATTCACGTAATTGCAAAACGCTTCAGTCAGGTGAGAGATGAAATTTCATGTAAGGCCATGTCTATGCCACAGAAACTGCTGTTTGACATGTAGTCAAATCTCCACCTGACCCTTCATCAGACAGCCTCCCTTCCTCTCAGACTAGTTTTAACAGTGCCTGTCCTGCTAACGGACTGGTGATCAACAGTGGTTTGAGCACCTGAGCTATTAAATACCTCATGGCTATCTTGTGCTTTTCCTTCTTACATGTTATGGAAGAAGAATATTAAACATTGTACTGAATGTCCCCTCCATTTAGACTGAAAGTTTGTTTAGGACAAAGATGAACTTATTGTGTACATATGTGCTATATATGTGTATAAGACTGGAGTTCTCCCATCCTTGCTGCAGGGGCAGACATGGTTAGGTGAGGGATGGCTGGGCAAGATTATCATGGTTGGTCAAAGCCCAGTTCGGTGTGGACTGTGAGTCAGAGCCCTCTGCTGTAGCTGTTTTGAAGCATGATTATATCAAGCAAAGCCATGGGCCTCTGCTGCTAGGAATTATATTTTTTTGGTAAACATCCCTTTCCTTTTCGCTCAGCCCAGCTGTGCAACGGGCTGCAACGCCTTCATTTGCAGTTTTCAAACCTCACCTCCAGGGGGGAGCAGCACTGCTTGTGAGTGAACCGATTTAAACACAAGCAGGCTCAAACTTTCCATACCAAATATGTTTGAATTTTGCCTCGCACTAGTGTCCCCCTGAACCGTGTTGGATAACCATGTCCTTCGCCCACAGACCTGGTTCAGCTTCCAGAACAATAGAGCTTGAGGAATTTCACAGGGCCCATGGTGTTTTATGAGACAAGAACTGCTGCCTTTTTTAGATACACTGAAAATTAAGGTGAGCTTTTGTGGTGCTGGTGTGCAAATAGACCCCTCTGGCAGAAGAGCTTCATCGAAACATCTTTGTCCCTGGTATGAGGGATGAGTTGTCTGACTGTAGCCTGAAGGAGACATCACCAATTTGAAGTCAAGGAAAAATTTAAAAAGCCAGTAATTAAAATGATCCAAGCACCAAGCCCACCTCTGAGACCCTCCTGTCTACAAATCATTTTTCTCATTATTTGGAAAATATTTCTTCCACGTCTGATGGAATGATGCTCATTCTCTCCCTTCCCCCCACAACAGGCAGAAATGACTCACCAACTAACTGTGCTGTCGGATGTACAAAGTAAACAAACTAAAAAACCCTGATTCTTCTCCTCTTCTGTTTTTTTGCAGGGGTATAAATGTCAAGTATTACTTAAAACACTAGTAGATAAAAGGAGAAACACAAAGGTATGGATTTTAAGATGTCCTCTGAAACCAAGCAGTTCTCAAATAAATGCAAATCTCCACCTTTTAAA